GTGGTATATATGCACAATGGAATATTATTCAACCATAAGAAGAAAACAAATCCTACCATTTGCAACAACATGGATGGAGCTAGAGGGTATTATGCTCAGTGAAATAAGCCAAGTGGAGAAAGACAAATACCAAATGATTTCACTCATCTGTGGAGTATAAGAACAAAGCAAAAGCTGAAGGAACAAAACAGCAGCAGAAACACAGAACCCAAGAATGGACTAACAATTACCAAAGGGAAAGAGACTGGGGAGAATGGGAGGGCAGGGAGGGATAAGGGCAGGGAAGAAGAAAGGGGGTATTATGATTAGCATGTATAATGTGGGGGGTGGGGGAAAGGGGAGGGCTGTGCAACACAGAAGACAAGTAGTGATTCTACAACGTCTTACTATGCTGATGGACAGCGACTGTAATGGGGTTTGTGGGGGTCCTTGGGGTAGGGGATAGCCTAATAAACATAATGTTCTTCAAAAAAACCTTTTTTTAAAAAAGGGAAAAAAATATATATATATATATAAATCGGGGAGATCAGGATTAAATGTATGATATGTTGTGTTTCCTTCATGACCCATTAGCTTATGGGAAAATACATAAAGATTTTATCTTTAAAAAAACAAAAAAATACACTGAAGTACCTACAGGTGAAACATGTTTGTACTTTGAAACACAAGACCAAAACCAATTTGGGGTACAGGTGTTGATTGAACAGGACTGACAAAACACTATTAACTGCTGGAGCTACATGGAGGTTCATTATGATATTTTTCCTTCCTTTTGTGTATATATGACATTTGACGTAAAATTGTAAGAAGGGCAATGATTACGTATCTCATAGGCCTGTTGTGATCACTGCTTGAGGAACTGTATTTAAAGTGCTTAGCAGAGGGCCTAGTGCAGAATAAAGACTTCGTACTATTATCCTCTGCATTGCCCTAACTGACTGGCTAGGGCCTTCATCTCCTATATTTGGCATTTATCATTAAGATGTCATTTTATATTACTCTAACAGCCTTCTGTATGGATGAAAACTTATGTCAAATTCTTTCTCCTCTCAAAAGCTCCTTCACACATGTGTTACTTTTTTTCAAGCTCCTATATATTGGGTGCCCACTTACTGACAAGCACTGTAAGGGGTACTTTCCAAACATTACCTTCAATCTTTACAACAGTGCTTTAGAGATGAGGAAAAGAGAGTTTAAGTCATTTGCCTGCCCAAGTGTCTATAGCTACTAAGTGTCAAAGCCAAGATTTGAACCCAAGTCATTCTGGTAGCAAAACTTGATCTGTTCTCCAGTCTACACTACATCCTTTCTAAAAAGAATTATAACCACTTATTTTAAAAACTTTCATTAAATTCCCAGTGCCTATAGGATTAATTTATGACCCAATGCAATCCAGACTCAATCTACCTTTTTAATCAAATTAGTAGCATTTTTTGAATTATTCATCCTTTGTCCATTTATCCATAATAATGGCTCTGTCTTGTATCAGGTTTCCACATAGGCATTCTAAGCTTTCTAGTTTGTTCCCCTGGTCTATAGTGATGATTCAAGGGGTGGTAACTGCTGTTAGCTTAGAGGTGATCTCAGCATCTGACAGAAGGGGGCTAGCAAACACTGGATAATCAAGTAATAAATGCAAAGAACCCACTTCTTCCACACCACCAGGAACATGTACCTGAGCGATCCCTCCAGTGGAACTGTAGGAACTGGTAATGGCATTGCGGCTGGACATAGGGATGCCACATGTGTATGTGCTTGTCGAGGAGCTCACAGAAGAGGTGCGGGATCTCTTATTCAAGTGGCTGTCTGAGCTCTGGGAATTGAGGCCTCTCTTCAGAGACCCAGGCCTAAAAGGGAAATAAAAGAGAAAAACACAAATGTGCTATTGAAAGACAACAACATTGTTTTAAGGTTTCATCAATGGTCACAAAATCATTCTAACATAACGAAAAAGGATAACATTCTTAACTTTACTGTTAATTCAGCTAAATATATCTCACAAAGTCAGAAAGGGAAAGCTAAGTATTTTAAAAATTAAACCTATGATTCTACTCATATATACTGTAGGAAACGCACACAAATCTATAGTGACAGAACGGGGATCAATGGATGCCAGGTAACAGGTGCAGTGTGAGAGGGAGGTTTGAAGGCTTCACCAAGGGGCACGGGGAAACTTCTGGCAGTGAGAAGGTTTCATGGGTGTGAAATTGAGACAAAATAGTTATTGTGGAAAGTTACTTAAAATGTTCCTCTCTGAATTTGGGGATCAACAGAGGTGAGGCTCAGAACCTGTTTTGAGAGAAATCTTCTGCATCCGTGGATGTCTTGCTGCCCTTGTCTAGCCTGGATTAATACTTAGTCCATAGGCACACACCTGATCATCTGATCATCTACATTTGCCCTCTTACAGCACTAAACTATGTTTTCTACCTTTATCTTGCATCTACCTACCACTTCAGCATTTTATTAAAAATAAAAATAATAATAATAATAGGAGAAATGTGGGATCAACATATAAATCAAGTACAAAAATCAAACGAATATTCATATTTGACCTGATTGTTTATAGGTCATAATGCATGATCAAAACCGAAAGTTTCTGTGATGAATGCCCTTGTACTGTTCACCATGTAAGAATTTATTCACTATGTAAGAATTCGTTCACCATGTAAGAACTTGTTCGTTATGCTTCAGAAGATTGGAGACTGACGAGAATTAGGCTTGAGATGGATTAATGATTGTACATTGAGCGTTGACCCCCCTATACTGAATTTTATTGTTGTTAACAACCATTTGATCAATAAATATGAGAGATGCCCTCAAAAAAAAAAAAAAAAAAATGTTCCTCTCTGATTTCAAAGAGGAAAATTTGTAGGACAATAATTCTCATAAGGATACATGTCAAAATTTATCTAATTGTACACCTTAGAGAGGCACAGTTTATGTCAATTATACCCAATAAAGCTGTTAAAAAAAATTAGGAGGAACCAACCACTTTTTCTAAGATTCAAACTGAAACAGAAATTCCCTCAACATCTTTTCTATGAGATAGTCATCCAAACTTTGTGACAGCACAGACAGCTCACTATCTCTGGCTGATGAATGTCAACCAGAGACCAGTTTATTCCTACACTGGGTGAAAACATACTTCCTCCTTCACCTACTTCACCTATGGGTCCCATCTGGAGCCAAACCAAGCCAACTGTTCTCCTTTCCTGTGATAGTCCTTCAGTTTTTTGCAGACCATTCTCCTTCCCTCCCTCATTTCCTTAGGCCCCTGGGGTTTTTCTCCTCTGGGCTAGTACTTCTGTACCTCCAGAACCCCCTCACCCACCACCACCACCCTGTGACATCTTGAGCTGCTTCACTCGCAGTGAATTTCGGTCTGTGTCTGCCTCCTCTTTCAGGGCAGCACAGCCCACCCACAGCCCTCCGTGGACAACAGGACCAGGGCATTCAGGACCACCACTGACCTGCCTCCTCCTAGTCCTTCTTCTATCAGCACAGAGTAGGAGCATGTTAAGCTTTTTGGCAGCCATATCACAGTGCTGACTCAAATTAAAAATTAAGTTACCCCAAGTCTTTTCACACACATTTCCAGCCTCTTTCCCTCATAGCCAATGCTTCCTCAAATATAATTAAGCTCAAATGCAGAAATCTAACATTTTTATTAAATTTTGTACTGTTGCATTTTATTCATTGCACAAACCTTGTTATCTGTTTGTTACATACTTGGTTATTCAATGTATCTACAAACCCTCTTAGCCTTAGCATATTTTATGCATATTAATGAAAAACAGTAAAAAGAATTAGGCAAAATAGCTATTGTGGCAAGTTACTCAAAATGTTCCTCTCTGATCTCAAAGAGGAAAATTTATAGGACAATAACTCCGATAATGACCTTTTTTTCAAATAGGAAATCTCTCCCAGATGGATTCTTACTTACTTAGGCACAAAAGCAGTAGGGACTCCATTGGCCACCACAGGCTCAAATGCTGAATGTCCACTCCCACTGCTGTCATGACGCCTGTGACAAATCACAAACCCTCAATTAGATGATATGACTTTTTCTTTAAAGCATACTCTCATGTTCCTGGGATGCTATACTCTTTCTATGGAACACAGGCTCATGCTAGACAAGAAAAGGTTGCCTCAAATCTCAAATATTCAGGAAGGTAAATTTATTCTACGACTGTCCTAATCTAATAAGAAAAGTATAAAAATGCTTTAAGACCTTTTGAACTATTCCGGTGTACCGATTATTTGCTAACTTCTCACCAAAGCACTTGAATCACACATTTAATATCCTACCATCCATAAATTTTAAACAAAAAAAAAACCATTTCAGCAACCCACCTACACACATCCCCCAGTGCTCTCAATTTAGTTCAGTCTGTAAGAGAAGAACTTCACATATCACACACATAAGGGCCTGTGCATGGTGCACATAATCACTGCTTATTCCAATTATAGGCTCACTGCAGTCTAGAAAAATTACCAACCTGGAGAATATGACAAAGCTGCTTTGACCATAATAATAGTTATTTTCTCTCTGACCTCCACACACCATATCCTCCTGTCACTCCTGCTTAGTTGGCTGACATGAGCTCAGACTGCTCACTTGTAAATCATATCCCTAGTATTCATTACCTGATCTTCCAATGTTACTTCCAATTAATCTTCCAATGAACACACTTGCATTTATTAGTATTTCCTTACCTAATGTTGCCATCTACAGTATCAAAGATGGCCAGCTGTGAACCTGGTATATGACCGACCTGGTCTAATTGATGAGGATAATGGTTCTATTTCTCAAATGTAGGGTCCATTGTCTCCTCAGAGCATGTTTCCTTGACCACCTTATATACAGAACTGCCCCTTTCTCATTACCCTTTTATATCACTTTTTAAAAATATTTATATACTTACAATCTATAATTACCTTGTTTGATTTCTTACCCAAGTCCCATGAGACCCTTGTTTTGCTCACTGCTCTATCCACAGTGCCTGGAGTAGGCTCTGCCACATGGTGGGTCTTGTAGTTTGTTGAATTACAAGAAAATGAGTGGAATCCTTAACTGACTCCTTGGAAAGCCACAAGCAGTTCTATAGCTTACTCAGAGCCTTCAACTTCCTCTCTTTCCATTGAGGAAACAGAGTGCTTACTCTATTTTCATTACATTTTCAAAAGCCAAATGAAACTGCTTTTACTCTCATTACTCATAGATCTATCATACTCCAGTCTTCGCTATTCTTTTCCAAGTATTTCTTTCTGCACAAATGACACCTAAGCTGATGGTCACCCAAATAAGTGAACACCACAAGGGGAAGACTTTCAGCATTCTGTCAAAATTTAACACATTTATATCAAAAGTATGAAGCTAATGTAGCCAATACTGTTGGCTTTTCTCTAGTACTTATGGAAAAGGTATATTACAAAATATATGTAGCCTGTGCCTAATGAAAGGCGTAGCAGTAAAGCTCTTGTTACCAAGCTCTTCCATGAAAGCCAAAGAAGGGGACCTGCTGCTCACACACAGGAGGCGGCCTCTGATTCTTTTTGGGAGTGATCTCTGTTTCAACAAATCCCAGGAGCCTGTGGGAGGCACGTTTAGGACTCTGCAGGGCATGTTACCTTCTTTTATTTTCCTGACCATCAGCTGATATTTGGTCTTCCTCCTCCTGCACTGTCCTTTTCTTCTTCTGTTTGAGCGCATTCAAAACAGTCTCCTTTGCACATGGGTCTGGGACATTACTTGAGGGTGAGGACAGTGTTGAGCTGGTGGTCTGTGCTGCTCTGTAACAGAAAAAAGGATGTTAGCATTAAGATACTCTGATTATCATGGTATATAGTATGAACTTTATTCACTGGAAATCCAAAGCTAACCAACAAGCAAAAGGGTAATTTATACACTCACACAAGTTACCCTTAGCTGTTAAAGCTACAGTCTAAGGCAAAACCCCCAAAACAAAAAAACTCTTCAATAACTAGAACTTGACATTTCTCCTTCATGTAAGCAGCTTCTTACTTTCCTTTGAGTTACAGTTATTGTCTGATGAACAAGTGCAGAAGAATAAAGTGGACACCCTGGGAGACTTTTCCTCCAGCAATACTCACATTGGAGAATAAGTCAGTTTGCTATCTGGAGGAGCAATCCTCACTGTCAAAGGCCTGCACATCATTCTGGAATTACGAGGAGATGGCACAGGCTTCTTGTGACCCCCATTCCAGCACACCGTGGGCAGCACCCCCACACGGGAATACTGGGCCTGCTGGATTGGGTATCGTCTTCGAGGTGTTATGACAAACTGGTGTGGTGAAGTCCCACAGTCCCTGTGGAGAATGGGAGACACATTATGGAACCAAAGCAGCTTAGAAGAATGACAGAAAATTTAACTTACTAAAGAAGCATGTGGATTCACTTATTTTCCAGAGAGCTTAAGCCTCTCTAAGCAACACAAAACACAGCATTTTTATGGCAACTTTCCCCCATTCCATCTAAGGGCAGAAAGTGGCAGCTGCTTAACAGCTGTGCCTACAATGGATTCAACAACTTTGAGAGGGAAATTGAAAACCTGCCCACACAAGTAAAACTACAGAGGAAGAAAAGTGTGCGTAAGGACGTGCAGGGGCAAATTTTACAAGAATCCTTCGATCTTTTATGATAAGTCATCAGATATATACACCCAAAGTCAGACGTTTTAAAAATCTGAATGTTCACCTTTTCAAATAAATGTACTTATGAAGGATCTAGTGTTGTCACTGAAGTTTTGAATTTTTTTGTATCACTCAGCTACTGGGATTAAACGAAAAAACGAGTCTTTTTAATCTAATTATCTTTATCAGCCAAGTTATATCCATCAAGGAGATTTCCTCGGTACACCTCTTTGAGCTCAGCTGATACAATGTATTAGTGCAAAGAAAAAAAGTAACAAAACCTATTACAGTACTATGCTTTAAAGACAGAAGATATTTTCACCTTAAGTAGGGATATTTTAAGTGATTTACCAAGTATTCTGCTAAACCCATACTGTATTAGAGTTCAGAGCTTTCAGAACTGAAAGAAGGGAACAGTTCTGGCAGCACATCTCAGAGCAAAGGCTAAAGGGCGGCAGGACACGGTTGACGCGCACCAAGGTATTTAAAGAGGTGAAAACGACACAGAACCCACTTAGGACCTAGAAAATAAAAAGGATTTCAAAGTCAAGTCCTCGGTCTGGGGAAGGTCAGCGTATCTTACCAGCGGGAAGGCCTCCTAGAGGTTCGGATAAAAGGTGTGTGGACTGAGGGGTGAATGGGATCGCGATGGGCCGAGTGAGCCGGCGGTGGGGGTCGTGTGTGGCTTGAGGGTGGCCGTTGGACAGGCTTGCCCAGATAACTGCCCACGAGAAGCAGTTCGGCGGGGTCGGGTCCTTGGAGCAGTGTCCGCGGCTCTACAACGCTGCCGTTTACCACCGCCTTGGCCGGAGGCGAGGCAAGCAGTGTTCGCTGGCGGCGCGCGTTCCGAACGAGCGAGGAGAAGGCGCGCGAATCTCGGGGCTCGCGGCTCAATCCCCACCAGGCCGCGGTAGCCCCCACAGCCAGCCAGGCCAGCGCCGCCGCAGCGGGCACCAGATACAGCACGAGGCCCAGCACCGACAGGCCGAGGAGGGCCGCCCCTACCGGCGCGCCCCAGCCCCTGCCCTGGCCCTGGCCTTTCCTGACACTAGCTGCCGGGCGCCGCCGGTCCCCTCCGCCAGCTGCCGCAGCCGCCGGAGACATCGCGGCTCCGCGCCGCGGAGAGGAGTTAAATATCCCAGGGTGCACCTCGCCGCGCTCGCGTCACCGTGCGCCGGCTGCGTCACTGTGCGCGCGACTCAGACGCGTGTCCAGCTGCGCAGCACCCTTCCAGAAGTGAACCTGTGGAAGAATCGCGGTAAAAATAAAACTCCAGAAAGCGACTACTCACATATCGCCTTAGGCCAAGGTATTTTCTAGGGGACTAAGCTCCCGAGAAGAGATTATAAGTCACTTTTCGTAATTGCTACCAATAGTTGTGAGTTTTTTGAGTTACTCTGTTTATTGCCGAAGTATAAACTGTAAAGGGGTTTACTCAGCATCAGTGAAAGCAAGACCAACCCAAATTAACCACTCTTGTTAATGTCGATCCAGTTCTAATAAACTCCCGATTAAAAAGTCTAAGTGTCCAGTAAATTGCGGATCAAACCTGAGGCTGCACTATGTTTCAGTCTCTGCAGTTTTAGTAAAGTGGGACAACTACCTACCACCATTTCACATTATGGTTCAGATATGAGGATTTTTAAAATCAATTTACCTATGCTAAATTTGGTGGTGCCAGAAAGTACATTAGTGGCTATCTAGGGCTGGGGAGTGTGCTGAAGGTGGGGGAAAGGAGAGTGGCTGATAAAAAGAACAAAAATGTTTTAAAATTAGATTATGGTGATGCAGCATCCTGTGAATTGCATAGTATGTGAATTATATGTCAATAAAACTTTAAAAAACAAACTTGGTGATCTGCCAGTTCAGACTTTGGCCTAGTTTAGGGCATTCATTCATTGATTTATTCACTCCATCTGATATACTTTAAAGAGATTAAAGGGGGAAAGATAGGGTCTGGCCTCCAGAAGTTTTCAGTTTAGTAGGGAAGAAAGACGTGTAAACAGAAAGTTACAATTCAGGGTGGTAAGTGTGCTAATAGAGGCACAAAATGAGAAGAAATGATAAAGGTAAAGATAGACTGGGAGGTTGTACTTGAGCTCAGAGAACTGCTAAGTAAATCAGATTCAAGGCAGATGAAGGGCACTATGCAGAAGCACAGAGCTGGAAAGGAGTATGTTACAGGAATCTTCAAATAATTCAGTGTTTTGGAGAGTAGTAATAGTAAAGGTGAGTCTACATGTAGAGATGACAAAAGCAAGCTGCTCTTCTCTCCAACCTGTTGCCAGGGCAAGTCTTCTTCAGTCTGTTTGATAAAAAGAAAAGGGCGTAGGCTGTGTTGCTTAAGAAAAAAATCTCAACAGTATCAGTGGAATAATGGGAAAAAAGCCAAGCCACAGTGAGTTAAATGGTAAATGGAGGCAGTGACTGCAGATTTCCGATTCAAGAAACTTGGATAATAAGGGAATAAAAGATAGTATCATGCTCAGCAACGTTCTTTTAAATTGTCACACATTACTGGAGTACAGAGAAGGAGCTAGAAGTAAAAACCATCAGTGTACTGATGCCACGAGACTAAGTAATATTATATGGGAATTAATGTAGATAGGTCCAAGGCCTGAGCCCTGGGGTACCCTAGTGTTTAGAGGGGACATTAAAAAACCACAGGTCATTTAGTAAAATACACCTAAATATGACGACATTGAAATTTAACACCTCCTATGGGAAAAGGCAATGTAGGTAGCTGAAAGATAAGCCAAGACTGGGGGTCTCATATAACCAAAAAAGAATTTGTAACTAGAGTTTATAAGGAACTCCTAAGAATCAATAACAAAAAGACTACCCAATTGTAAAAAGGGATGAGTGATAATAACAATGTAATCTATTGAATAGGAAACCCAAATAGTCAATAATAAATATACACATATGTACATGTATATATGTGTATGTATGTATATATGTACATATGTATGTTTAACCTCACCTGTAATCTAGGAAAGGTTTACTGAGGTGACAAGATTAACATTTTGCATTCATTTGTACAATAAGAAATATTTAATAGTTCAACAAGATCAAATTTTGGCAAGCATGTAGAACAAATGTAATTTATATACTGTTTATAGATACATAAAACCGTATAATTTGGAGAGCAGTTTGGCAATATCTAGTAAGGTTGAAGATGTATGTATGCATTTTATAACCTTGCAATTCCATTTCTAAGTATAAAGATATAGTCACTGTAGTATCATTTGTATTGCTGACAGTTTGAACACACCTGAGTGTCTAATATTAGTCTGCCAACCCAAGAATGGATAAGTAGGGTATAATTCATATAATATAATACTACATATAAAAGCAGTGAAAATTAACCTTTCCAGTCATGATGAAGTGATACCAGACTCAGTGTAAACAACTATAAAAAGGATGAAATTTATGAGGCAACTATCTGCAGGTAAAGGACAAGAAGTTTAAGACTGATCCCTGAGAGGAAACTCATGAGGTAAGCCCTCCAAATTACCTGGCACCTCTATCTGGGGATAGTTTCCCACTGTAGTGCAGAGTTAGTCAGAAAAAGAGTAGGGAGATCTTTCTAGGTTGAGGAAGCAGAGATCAGAATTTAAGACAGCTGAAATGGCTGGAAACCACTGGGCAGAGCCAGGGAAAGGAGGGCACCATGCAGATAGGGAGCTACAGAAGTCTGTGTGTGAGTCCCCTAAAAATCTGGCTGAAGGCTGGTGTGATGGTTAATTTTATGTCTCAAAAGTTGACTGGGCCATGGGGAACTCAGATATTTGATTAAACATAATTTTGAGATGTGTCTATGAGTGTCTCTGGATGAGATTAACATTTAAATTGGTAGACTAGGTAAAAGACTGCCCTTTCCACACTTCAATCCATTGAAGGCCTGAATAGAACAAGAAAGTTGAGCAAGAATTCCCTCTCTCTGCCTAACTATTGTTGAGTTCGCACATCCATCTTCTGCTTTCAGAGTTGGACTGGAACTCACACTATTGGCTCTTCTTATTCTTAGGGCTTTGGCCTAGGACTGGAACCATACCATCTGCTCTCCTGGGTCTCCAGCTTGCTGACTACAGATCTTGGAACTTTTCATCCTCTATAGTTACATGAGGCAATTCCTAAATAAATATGTAGATTTGTGTGTGCATATATCTCCATCTTGTTGGCCCTATTTCTCTGGAGAACCCTGAATAATATAGCTGGACTGTATATGTACAGTGTGAGAGCATCTGAAGCTCACCAGAAAGAGGTACTATATAGGGTTAAGACTTAGAAAATACTAGAGTTAGAGCAGTTCTGGGATACTAGCATTGCCAGGGGAGTTCTGGCCCTGCCAAAGTGGAGAGATCTTGTATATGGATCTTTAATATCCTTGGCATCCAGCTAAAACAGCAGAAGGGTTACAACATGGGGTAAGGACCATCGTCAAGAGTAAGACCTGTTGTTCTGCCCTAATTAAATCTAAAATCAAACCATGACAAGATTCACAGAGTTTGGAGTTTGAGTATCACCAAGATAGTAGGACTTGGGAAACACTTTAAGATCTCCACTGATTTGTAAAAATGAAACCAAGCCTAAATAAGTATAAGGTCATTAACCAATAATTACACTGCCTACTAAAACAAGGATCCATGTATTTCAGAAAGAGGTAACACCCTCCAGGGTATTGCTCATAGTACAAAATATTCAATAAAAAGTCATTTAGACATACAAAGAAACAAGAAAGTGTGATCCATTGTTAAGAAAAAAGATGGTCCAAATGTTAGACTAAGCCAGCCAAGAATTTAAAGAGCTACTATAAATCTGTCTGAAGAAGTAAAGGAAAACATGGTCTTAACAAGTGAATAGATAAAGAATCTTTGCAGAGAAATGGAAATTATAAGGAAGAAACAAACAAATGATAACTAAACTAGAAAACTAAAAATAATTGAAAATATTCACTGGCTAGGCTTAAACAGCAGATTGGAGACAGCAAAATAAAGTCAGAGAACTTAAAGACAAATCAGTAGAAATAATCTCATAGTAAACAGACCCTCTGGGACACATGAAGCAATATAAAATAGTTTATACCATATGTGTAACTGGACTCTCACAAGGACAAGTGAGATTGGAGCAGAAAGAAATATTTTAAAAATAATATCTCAATTTCCCAAATGTGAAAAGTTATGACTTAAAGATCCATGAAGCTAAATAAACTACCAAGTGAATAAAAGAGTAACTGCAGTTTCTCATCAGAAAGGAGGAAGTCTACAAGAGAGTTTCTTTCACATGCTGGGGAGGAAAAAGACCCTGTCACCCCAGAATTCTAAGTCAGCAAAAAATTCTTCAAAATTTAGGGTAAAATAAAGACACTTCCTGATGAATGAAATCCTGGAGAATTCAACACTGGCAGAACTGCACTATAAGAAATGTAAAAGATTTTTCTTTAAGCCAAAGGGAGCTAAGACCAGATGGAAATCTGGCGCTACAGAAAGAAATGAAGACCATCATGGTAAATATGTTAAGTAAATATAAAAGACTATGTTCTCTCATGATTTAAGAGCTGTTTCAAAGAAAAACAATAGAGGTATTGTGAGGTGGGTATAATAAATATGAAAGGAAAAAATGTAATAACCACCACCAAAACCTGGGTTGTTGGGGGATAAATGGAATTACACTATTATGAGATCACTGCATGTGTTACCCAGGAGACATGAGTGGAAAGCAGGAAGTGGGACTTTTGAGGTGATGTGAAAAGGGGTATGGTAAGTGAAAGGAATAGGAAAGTGAAGTGTGAAGTGTTCAATAGTGACTATATCTTGGGTCATACAAGAAGATTTAATAAATGTAAAAGGATCGATATAAAGCAAAGTATTCTCTGAACATAAGAGAATTAAACTAGAAATCAGTAACAGAAATGTAAAAGAATCTTCAAACACTTGATAATTAAATAACACAATTCTAAATAATCCATGCATCAAAGAGCAAGTCTCAAGGGACATTTTTTGAACTAAAAAAAATAATAAAACAGCTAAGTAAAATCTGTGGAATAGTACTTCTGCTTCTGACCATGATGGAATAAGAGGGACCCCAGATTTACCCTCTGACCTAAAACAACAACAAAAGCCAGACAAAATACATGAAACAGTTTTCAAGATACTACATATTAGACTAAAAGGCAGTGATCACTTAGTCAGGAAACAAATAAGGTGAGCCCAACAGTAATCACAGCTTACTATCTTGATTTTCCAGGTAGTAGCACAGTAAGGCCAGGAACAGAGGAAGAGGCCAATGGACTCCTTGAATTAAGGAGATGGAGCTAAGAGTCTGGGGACGCCAAAGAAGCTAAAATTTAAAAGATGGAATGCCAGAGAGGATAGGACTGTGCAGAGATTCTAGATCAGATGTTTCTCCTTGAGTATTCAGCACAGAACTCTTTAATACACGTTTACGAGGATACTATCCAAGTTCAAAGAGAAAACCATCCAAAAACACTAGAGGAAACAGGATCTGGCACTAACAAAGGGCCAGAAGTAGTGTCTGTTTCCACCAACCAGGCTGGGAAAACTAATTCATAGGACATTGGGTGGAGTATTCAGGAACATGTTGCTTCAGTAATGGGAACTAATCAGTCTTAGGTAAGCACTGCTTTGAGTCTACCGAACAGATCATAAAAGCAAAGGATCAAACTGTTTCCAATGATCTTAACTGCATCCCAAAACTCAAGAGAATGTACAGGAATAAAATATAACAGCACTCAACAAGGTGAAATCGCAGTGTCTTGCATTGAAACAAAGGTTGCCAGGCATACAAACAGGAAGGAAAACAAAACCCATCAGGAGGAGAATAATCAATCAAAACTGACAGATGTTAAAATTAGCACAAAACAACATTTAAAGTTATTTTAACTATATTCCATATGTTCAAAAGTTAAGTAAATATCTGAATTCAGCAAAGTTGCAGGATACAAAATTAATACACAGAAATCTGTGGCATTCCTATACACTAACAATGAACTAGCAGAGAGTAAAATCAGGAAAATAATTCCATTCACAAATTCATCAAAAAGAATAAAATACCTAGGAATAAACCTAATCAAGGAAGTGAAAGACCTATACTCTGAAAACTACAAGACACTCATGAGAGAATTTAAAGAAGATACCAATAAATGAAAACACATCCCATGCTCATGGATAGGAAGAATTAATATTGTCGAAATGGCCATCCTGCCTAAAGCATTCTACAGATTCAATGCAATTCCTATCAAAATACCAACAGCATTCTTCAACGAATAGAGAAAATCATTCTAAAATCCACATGGAACCACAAAAGACCTCGAAAAGCCAAAGCAATTCTGAGAAGGAAGAATAAAGCTGGGGGGATTATGCTCCGCAACTTTAAGCTCTACTACAAAGCCACAGTAATCAAGACAATTTGGTACTGGCACGAGAACAGACCCATAGACTAATGGAACAGACTAGAGAGCCCTGATATAAACACAACCATATATGGTCAATTAATATACGATGAAGGAGCCATGGATATACAATGGGGAAATGACAGCCTCTTCAACAGCTGGTGTTGGCAAAACTAGACAGCTACATGCAAGAGAATGAAACGATTATTGTTTAACCCCATACAAAAAAGTAAACTCGAAATGGATTAAATATTTGAATGTAAGTCATGAAACCATAAAACTCTTAGAAGACAACATCTCCTGAATATAAGCATGAGCAACTTCTTCCTGAACACATCTCCTTGGGCAAGGGAAACAAAAGCAAAAATGAACTCATGGGACTACATCAAACTAAAAAGTTTCTGTATGGCAAAGGACACCATCAACAGAACAAAAAGGCATCCTACAGTATGGGAGAATATATTTGTAAATGACATATCCACAAGGGGTTAATATCCAAAATATATAAAGAACTTACACGCTTCAACACCCAAAAAGCAAATAACCCGATTAACAAATGGACAGAGGATAAGAAGAGACAGTTCTCCAAAGAAGAAATTCAGATGGCCAACAGACACATGAAAAGATTCTCCATATCACTAATCATTGGGGAAATGCAAATTAAAACCACAATGAGATATCACCCCACACCAGTAAGGATGGCCAGCATCGAAAAGACTAAGAACAACAAATGCTGGCAAGGATGCAGAGAAAGGGGAACCATCCTACACTGCTGATGGCAAAGTAAGCTAGTTCAACCATTGTGGAAAGTAATACGGAGGTTCCTCAAAAAACTAAAAATAGAAACACCATTTGACCTGGGAATCCCACTCCTAGGAATTTACCCAAAGAATACAACTTCTCAGATTCAAAAAGACATATGCACCCCTATGTTTATCATGGCACTTTTTACAATAGCCAAGATATGGAAGCAACCTAAGTGTCCATCAGTAGATGAATGGATAAAGAAGATGTGGAACATATACACAATGGAATACTATTCAGCCATAAGAAAGACACAAATCCTACCATTTGCAACAACATGGATGGAGTTGGAGGACATTATGCTCAGTGAAATAAGCCAGGTGGAGAAAGACAAATGCCAAATGATTTCCCTCATTTGTGGAGTATAACAATGAGGCAAACCTGAAGGAACAAAATGGCAGCAGACTCAGAGACTCCAAGAAGGAACTGGTGGTTACCAAAGGGGAGGGGTG